GAGCACCTACAGTCATTGAAGCATTGTAGGCTCAATTCTAAAATTATTGTCCTAAGTATGTATCTTTGGAAAAGCTGCTATTTAATCTTACCAATCAAAAAACTTCTCAATATACAAACATCAGAGTATCATATTGTATTCCATAAATATGTACAATTATTATGTGTCAATAAAAGGCAAAGGTAACTATTCTTGGTTACCTTCCAGTATGGGGGGGAAAAAAAGAAAAGAAATCAGCTTATTAAAACCTATAGTTGGTAGCAGGGCATTGTGGTGGACGCTAGTCCCAGCTACTTGGGAGGCTGAGGCAAAAGAATCGCTTAAGCCCAAGAGTTTGAGGTTGCTATGAGCTGTGATGCCACAGTACTCTACGAAGGCCTACAAAGTGAGACTCTGTCTCAAAAAAAACCTAACCACATAGTTGGCCAATTTCTTCACCCACCTAAATGCCCATTTAGGTTAAAAAAAGTGGGTAGGGGGCAATGCATCAGTAATTTATTTAAAAATAAACTTTGAGAACATGGCCAGAGGTACGGAAACATTTAGCCCTGTGTCCTACAGTAAAACCTGGGAATCTCTTTAAGTCTAGTTTATCAGATATTGGTATAGCCACTGTAGCCTTTATAAGCTAATGCTTTTTGTAGCATATATGTGTGTGTGTGTGTAACTACAGATTTCTTTTCAACCTATTAAAGTGTAATTTTACGGATGTCATATAGTTGTAGCTAGCTTTGTTAATTCATTTTGATAGTCTCTGCCTTTTAATTGGAGTTTTTAGTCCGTTAACATTGAATACAATTATTGATATAGTTGGATGTAAGGTTAGTATTTTACTCTTTGGTTTCTTTTTGACTTTCTTGTTTCTCTGTTCTCCTTTCCTGCATTCTTTTAGCTTAATTGAATATTTTTGTAGACTTCTCCTTCAGGTTATTTTTTAGGTTTTTAACTATATTTTCTTTCCATTTTGTCTGCATGTGTGGTTGTTCTAGGGATTATACTATGGATTCTTAACTTAGCTGAATTCTGTTTTTCCTTATTTTTTTGAGACAGAGTGTCACTCTGTTGCCCTATAGGCTACAATGCCCTGGTGTCAGCCTAGTTCACAGCAACCTCAAACTCCTGGGTTCAGTGATCTTCCTGCCTCAGCCTTCCAAGTAGCTGAGGCTACAGGTGCCTGCCATAATACCTGGTTAATTTTTTTTTTCCTATTTTTGGTAGACTTGGGGTCTTGATATTGCTCAGGCTGGTCTCAAACACCTCAGCTCAAGGGATCCTCTCATCATGGCCTCCCAGAGTCCTAGGATTATAAGTGTGAGCCTTTATGCCGAGCCATTTTGCCTTCATTCTTAAAGGATAATTTTTCTGGATATGGAATACTGGACTGACAATTTCTTTTTTCTTTCTGCATGTTGGTATTTTTTTACATTTAATATGTCATTTTTTATCTACTTTTAAGATTTTTAAAATTATGATTAGTTTTCTTTATTTATCCTACTAGTGATTTACTGAACTTCTTGGATGTCTTAAAATATTTGCCTTGCTCCAAATTTGGAAAATTTTTACCCATTATTTATTAAAAATTTTTTTGTTCCTATTTTCTCTCCTTGCCTTCTATAACTCCAATATTATACATATTACACCTATTGATACTAAGCCATAAGTCTATTATTTTCAACCCTTACTTTCTGTTGTTTAGTTTGAATGTTGATGTTATGTTCACTAACTCTTTCTTCTGTTATCCTCATAGTACTTTCAAGCCTATCCAGTTAATCTTATAATTTCAGATAATATTGTTTTTAGTTCTAAAACTTTTTTGTTCTTTGTAATACTTCCTGGTTCTCTGCTGAGATTTCCTGTCTTGGCATTCCTTTAAGCATATTTTTGTTTGTATCTGTGAATATAACTTTAATTGCTCCATTAAGATTTTTGTCTCATAATTCTAACATTTGAGTTACTTTGGGATTAGTCTCAGTCTATTGTTTTTTTTCTTGAAAATGGGTCACATTTTCCTTTTGTTTGTGAAGTAGTTTTGATTATATCCTACTTATGTTGTTGAGGCTCTAGATTCCATTTAATTCTTTTGAAAAGTATTGATTTTTGCTTGTTTTAGCAGGCAATTAATAGATTGCCTGCAAATATTTGTTTTACCCCTAGCTAGTATTTTTGGAGTTTTCCCTCCACATGTATAGTTCACAAGTCAGCTATAGATTGTATACAAATAATTTAGAGCTATTCCTTCCTGACTTTATCCCTTCCAGGATTCTTCCTTCACTTTCTAGTTGCTTTGGTTACCTGGCACCCTGTCCTGTGGTTCTTTAGACAGAAAGACTGAAGAATTTTTGTCAGAGCTTTAGTTGCCCTTCATGTTATGATTGGGGCTTGCCCTGAGGCTAAAAATTGCAACAAACAGTAGAGCAATTGTCAAACTCCTGTTTTTTTCCTTCTAAATATCGATTCCCTTCTGGAATCAACTTGTTTTCTGTCATTTTCCAGTGCTTTCAGGTCTTGCTGTTATATTTTTCTTTATAGTTTACATATAGTTCTTCTATGCAGGGGAGTTGGTGTGATAAGAGATTACTCAGCCATTATTAGAAGTAATGTGACAAATAGGTGCAGTAAAGTACAATCCTAATGGTCATCTCATTATTTAACAATGTCCAGAAAAGGAAGAAAGTATGATGTAAGTAATCCACGTACAGGCGGGCACACACACACATAGAGTAATGAAAAGAACTGGTATTTTTTAAACTCCATGGTCTGATTTATAAAACATTAGCATAAAACACATTTCTAATATAAGTATAGATAGTGGTACCAGGTGTCAAAAGAAAATTCTTGAAGTCAAGATAGGTATGTGAGGAAATAAAGCTTCTAGGGTTCATTGTGACTATTTTCAGGAATGTTACATTAGCAGCAATTACATTTTAAAAGCTGTATAGATTGCAGAAATCTTAGACTTATTTTCAAGTTCTATTGTATACTATACAACTAAATTTTTACTTCTGATGTTTGCTTTGTTTTGATTGTTAATATAATGAAGAAAATAATTTCTCATTTAAAACATTTTGGTGGATACTTTCCAATAAAATTTCCACTTTCTAGGAAATGTTTCTTTCATGATTCCCCTTGTAATTCCTTAGGTTCTTTGCGAAGCAGGTAGCAGAATCTATGCTTTGATTTACTTTCATCTCTGTGCCGGTGGTTTACATCCCTACTCTGTCTCCTTTATTTTGTATTTTTTTCTTGAGGTTTTTTCATTGCCTTTAATTTTTATATGTAGTAGAAAAGGAAGATTAAGATTATTGATTATTTGATTTTTTTTCTTGTTACTACTACACATTTTCTACATGCTCAGCCTTTATCCTTTCTTCTTAAGCATTGTAGAATATTTTTAATATTTTGCCCAGTGTGTTAGGAATTTGAAGAAGTAAAAGCAGGGACTCTGTGTACCCTCATTCTATTGGGAAGGTCCTGCTTGTTGAATTTTTAGGTATTTCAAGATGTTCCAGTCAACTGACGAGGACTTCTCCTCACAGTGTCAGAAATGTAGTGATGATGAGAGTAATGCAGCTAACACATAGTTCTGGTATGTAATCACTTTGCATGTTTACTTAACTAGAAAATTCTCTGGAGTATAGTGGTATCCTGTACTCCTAGTTAGAAATTTAGAAAACCATTTGCATGCTTTCAAAGTAAATTTGGGGATAATAGTGCTAATGAAGGAATGGAGAATGTATTTTACTCAGATGTGAAGTTCTGCACAGATAGTATATCTTCATTTTTCTGAATGAAATGAAGAAATTTCATTTTCTCCCTCTTCTGAAAAGGGAAAAATAAAACTTAAACCTACATTCTTAGAATTTTGTGAGTACCCTGATAGTTGATAAAACTATAGGTTTTAATGTATTTTTAATTGTAAAATCATTATGGTACTAGGTGCTTTTAAAGTAAAAAACCAGTCACAAATGTGGACCAGATTATCAATGGACATTTATTTGCTTTTATGCTAAGTTCTTTAGTTCTTATGTTGTCATAAATTATAAGTAAATATTTTAGAAGATCTATATATATCCAGTTTTATTGTGTTTCTTGACGATCTGTTTGTACTAAATTTAGAGTGACCCACTATACACATATTGGTTCTTCTTTACGTGTTAACTGTTAATTCTGCTGGTTTGGTTGATGATAAAGTAGAATTCTCTACCTCTTTCCCATAGTTTACTATTGTACTTACAGAAATGGTGGGATGGTTATTTTTATGAGACTAGATTGCTTGTTTTTTTGTGTTAATTGTTTAATTGGCATTTAAAGATACTCTGGTTTATAATTGGGAAAACTTTGTGTATTTATGACATGTATTATAAATAGTATATTGTTATTTATGATTTGGAATAACACTTTATTCTCTTTTTCAGTTGTAGAATATTATCCAGCAGTATAGCTTTTGAAAATTTTTCAATGTGTTATCAATGGAGATTAAGGAGCACAGCATAATCCAGTGAAGTCATTGTAATTAATACATTACTTTAAAAATATTTTTCTCTTTTTAAAGGATACATAGGTCTATTGAATATTCTTTTTTCTACTATCAATGAAGTTTGTATATATATCTTTCTTAAGTCTTCTAGGATTGTCATCTTAAAGAAAAGTAGCTATATTTCTGACTGTTTCTCTACTGTAATTAATGCAACCTGGTTTATGTGTATATGTAAGAACTTAAAAAAAAAATCAAAACTAAAAAACAAATGATTTAACCAGGGCTACAGAGTCCATGGTAGGCTTGTAACTAAGCTCAGTTTTATTGCTAGCTTTGTAACTTAATCCATTCCAATTAATATTTTTAGCATGGATAACTGGTCCATTAACCTAAAAATAATTTATGAATTAACTCTGAGGTATTCCCCTACTTTGTAAATCTGCAATATTTTCTTCATTGTAGTAAGAACAAAATTATGCCATAGTAACTAATTCTTGCCCCACACCCTTTTTTTCCCCTTTAGAAAAATTGGAAGCTCCACCACCCACCCCAGGACAGCTGAGATATGGTAATGGTTCTATGATTGTTAAATATATGTGCATCTTTGTTTTGGACTTGAAATAACTGTATCACTCATTGATAGCGCAGAAGAGTCAATAATTAAATCTTTCCAGATAGAGTGGATTATCCGATCCATTCTATTGAAGCACAAAGTTTAAAAACTTAATATATAACACAAAGTTATAGAATATCTAATATTGTTAAAATATTACCATCTAGAAATAGAATTATGCTTATGGTAGAAGTTTTCTTAATTTTCAGGAAAAAGGATGTATTTACTTTAGTTTGAACTTTAGTTGAATAACTACTGAATTAGAATTTCTAGGCTCGAGGTTAGGCTGAACTGTTTACTGAAAAAAGTAAAGTTCATTTAAAACCACCAGGAAAAAGAGCCTTGTGCAATGCTACTGGTTCTCTTTCTTTCTCCATTATGGTGAGAATAAATATTCAAGGACTAACCCTGAAATAATGTAAAACAATTTGGGATCTTATAAAGACAGAGGAAGAAGTGAATTATTTAACAGTGTAGCAAATTTGAGTAGGTTGTAAATTAAACGTAAATATTAAATGTGATTTGCTAACAACTGCTAAGTTATAAAATAGTGTTTCCCAAAGGAAATCGAAGAAACCACAAATTAGTAGGAGATGATTACAACCTGGAGAGCAAATTTATACAATTTAAAAAACTATGTAGTCCTTTTTTTCTCTCAGAGGTAGAATGTAATTTATATTAGAAATTAATAACTTTCTCAAGTACAGAAACAATTTATGAATTCTTTCAGTCTTCTTCTCAAGTAATCTTTCCTGATTCTCCCTGCTTAGATTCTTCTGTAGCACTGTATAATACTACTATCGCTTTTTGTAGGTCATGTTGAAATTAACTATTTATAGGACTGTGTTATCCTTGAGCCCTGGGAACCAAATCTTATTTATCTTTGTATCCCATTAGAGAGCCCAGTACATATTTAACTTTTTAAAAAATTATTTTGTTTCCCTTTGGATTAAAATACATTTTTATTTATCTGACTTTTTTTAAGGTATAAACATTAAAAACATAGTCCAAAGTGATTATCGTGGCAATGTGCCTTTTTAATTGACTATGTTGTTATGAAGATAGCAATTAGCAATCTTAATTTTATGGCCTAAACACCTAATTTTAAGATATTTGTAAGTAGCCAGTTTTAGAGTTGCCATCAAATTAACCTCAAATGCTAAGTGATTCCAACTGGTTTCATCATTATTTTGCCATACTTAGTAGCTTTCTCTTCATGTTTCATTTACTGAATTTTTAAAATTTCATTATATTCTTTTAATCTATTAAATCTCTATTGTGTATAGGGTTTAGAATTTGTTTCTTATAAAATTTTAATAAGTTAAGAACTAAGGGCAGGCTCATTAATTGAAAAATCCTATTTCATTAATGTGCTATTTGATTTTTATCATCTTCAATAGCTTTCAAATAATCTATGTAATTAAAGTTGTCACCCTTGATCTTGAACAGCCCTTGTTCTTAAGAACATTCATACTTAAAACAAGAAGGAATCTCATAAGACCTATTATATACCTATTATGTATTGCTTTATACAAAATTGTATAATTATAAAAATATTACACATAATAGTATATATTATTATAGTGTATATACTGTTTTTACTATTTTCTCATGATCTTAGTCTTTGATAGTAGTTGTGAGTAGAAGTGATTTTTTATTTTAACTGCTTGTAAGCCTTTCCTGATTGGTGCAAAACCAATTTAGTAATTGTTAGATCTCAAAAGGTGGAAAGGTGCGACATAGAAGCAGGCTGAGGAGAGTTAATAGCAGAGATTTTTTAAGAGCACCTATAAGCAGATGGGCTGCCACTGAAAATGGAAATAGATGACAGCACTGGGTAAGGGACCTCTTTTAAAGCAACTCAGGGTGTGGTGTATGCTTAGCTCTGGAGGTTGCAAGGTGGCTATGACAGAGATCAAAGGTGATCTGCCAGAGACCTTGAAGAAGGGTTCTCTGCTGTGAATCTTGTACAACCTGGTAGGAAGTTTAACAGAACCAGAAGAAACACAGCAAATCCTATTGATGAATATCTAGCCCAGTGTTTTTCAACCTTTTCTATCTCCTGTTACACTTAAACCTATAGTTGAACTTCTGTAGCATACTTAAATTATGTTGATCAAAACAAAAAGTAAAAAAGAAAATGCTTACTGTGCTTTGAACTTCTTTCAGAAATAATTTGATTAATGATCTTTACAAATTTTTGTGGCACACCTAAGATCCTCTCACAGGGCATACCAGTTGAAAATCATTGGTTTTAGACCCACCCAAGGTAGAGAAAGACTAACAAAGCCTATTCTTTACTTAGTGAATGTTTGAACCTCCAAGACTTAATGAGTGTTTATGACCTCCTGGAGGTAGGGAAAGACTAACAGTAATAATAAACTTTTATAATTTCTAGATTACATTTTAATTATACTTTTTGTGGATTTATCTGCATTAAAAGAATAAAAGATTAAAATCGGTGAACACATGTGATCATTGGTTTTAAGGGATTATGTTTGGGATGTACTATAAAAATCAGGGTTTTAATATTTGTTGAAAAAAGTCCTCAGTTGAACTCATGTTGACTATACATTGGCAATTTTATAGATTAATTAGAATAAAGTCTTTTACCAATTCCCAGCTTTTAATCTGTTTCACAGTCTGCCTTCAATTCTCTCAATCTGGAATTCTCTTCCTTTCCAGGTTAGTGGTCCTCAACTTAATTAATTGAGCATCTACTATGCCCTAAGCATTCTCCTGAAGACATAAATATGAAAAAAAAAATGAGGCTAAATGCATCAAGTATATAGGTATTAGTTCTTCCTAGTTATACTTTTAATATCGCAGATCATTTAGATTATTTGTACCAGATAGATAAGGTAAGATGCACTTTGGGCACAAAGGAACAAAGATGCAGTTTGATTTAAATCAAATATGATTGTTTATAGTTTGCAGTAACATTTAGGGATACTGAGGAATTGTGAGGAGGGAAAAAGACTGCACATAGATGTCTAATACAGACTAGTAATCCTCTTTTTCTAATATTTCTTTAAAAAATTGAGTAGTGACTAAAAGCAACCAAATAGCTTCCCTGAAATTTGATTTAGTGCATTTTTCATTATTTCTAATACAGAAATTAATTTTACAATGCCAGTCTTTAGGCATAAGAAAAAGAGATTGATGTCAGTAGCAGTTAACAGGTAAAACATGGTACTCCTATACGTTCACTAATTTGGTCTGCTGTTAATGTATATGTATATATATTTGTGTGTGTGTTGCCAGTAAAAAAACACAAAAACCTAACACAGTTATTTTTGTTGTATATTTTTAAAATTTGTTTTGTTTTTCCCAGTACAGTTTCTGTCAGTTAAACTTATAGCAATAGCAGGATCAATTGGCTATGGGGAATTGAAAGCAAATTCTAGCTCTAGAATTGAATCTTATGTCGTCTATTTAAGAGACTTTGATCATATGGTCTACTTTTGTCATTCTAAAGTTATAGAATCTTAAAATGTATTTTTCTGTTTTTGATGTTTTTCAGTATTCATCCACAATGCGATACCTTTCATAGGGTTTGGCTTTTTGGATAATGCAATTATGATTGTTGCAGTAAGTTCTTTCTCTCACCGCTTCTATTTTGAGTTAATGTAGATATTAATGTGGTCTACATTTTCCTAATAACTTGCATATTGTAACTAAAGTTTTAGTTAATATCATAATGAACAAAGCTATTTTTTACTGTATTTCATGTTAATTAGATAATAGCTCAATGTTAAGGCATTATATATATTAATCACAAGGAGTTTTGGTAAAGCATTTAGACAGTTTTTTTGACAGCGTTTAGATCAAACATCCAGGATCTATATTATGCTGTTCCAGTTTTAACGTTATTATTAATGAAAAAAGTATGTAAATTTTCTGATGCTCTTTAATTTTCATGGTGGCTGTCATATATAGGTTACTTGATTAGTTCTTTCTTCAGTTTTTTCCATGTGAAAATGTTACAAAAGGTATTTTGATACAGTCTAGGTTTCTGTCTGGCATTTAACCCAAAGATGTTGTAAGTTTCCATTTAGAACACTGAATATAGCCTTGTTTTGCTTTTGGTCCATTGTAATGTTAAGGGGAAAAAAGTTCCTCTTTGCTGTAGTCATTTTAAAGTTAAAATATGTTGTTTAAATGTGTTAAAATGTTAAAAATGTTATTTAATCTCAGGGATGGCCGATTTACTTGTCTTACTAAATAACAACTTTTGTTAATGAATACCAATATTGGGTCCATATTCTAAGATCGAATAGATCTATGATTAAAATACAAGTCTTCTAAAATTCCTCATTTCTATACCCCCTTTCAAGAATCCATCAGGTTTTAACTAACTACAGTTGATAAATTTATCATAATTGGATTTTCATTACAATTAGGTTTCATTTACCTTAACTGTTTAAATTATCTAGCCAACTCAGGTTTTGGTAGTTTCAGAAAAAGCAGTATGGATCTAAATAGTTGAATAAGATTCTTGTGTTCACAGATACATAAATTGGTCAGTTTTATTCTTATATGCATATCAGGAAAATGCCAAAAACCTATCTACTTCTCTTTTATTTTGTTCAAAGTTCAAGTAAAATAAATTGATCATAGTCCAGTTAAGAAGGAAATTACTGACTTTCAGAATATATTTTTAGAGTACTTTATGTGAAGTTATTCTTTTCAGATATTACCAGTAAGTTGACTGAAGGGATATTACATATATTCTTGGAGGAGAAAAACATACCAAATACTTTGAACATCACTATATGACTTCTTATGTGAGGGTCTTTATGGAAACTCGTTTGAGAAATTTACAGTGTGATTCAGAGAGTTTGTTGTCAGCTTTACTGACTAATTTTTTAAAAAATTCTATAAATGGGATTGGCACCTGTAGCTCAGTGGCTAGGGTGCCGGCCACATACACTGGCATTGGAGGGTTTGAACCCACCCTGGGCCTGCCAAACAACAATGGCAACTACAACAGAAAAAAGCTGGGCATTGTGGCTGGCAAATGTAGTCCCAGCTACTTGGGAGGCTGAGGCAAGAGAATCGCTTAAGCCCAAGAGTTTGATGTTGCTGTGAGCTGTGATGCCACAGAACTCTACTGAGGGTGACATAGTGAGACTCTGTTTCAAAAAAAAAATTCTGTAAATGATAGCTGAATATAGGAGACTGCTCAAACCCCACCTGAGTGATCTTAGGATTGTTTAATGTGAGAAAAATACATATGAGAGAATCAGGGTTTTTCTTTCTTTTTTCCCTTGGTGTTTTGGAGATCATAGGTACTACAAATTGACAGAGGACTTGATTTCAAAACAGGGCTATAAAAGTAATTTACATTGAATAGGTCATAAAATTTACTTAAGGAATATCTAAAATTGGTTCATTCAATTTTGGTTTATTCAGATTTTTTTTTTTTTTTTTTTGTCTAGCAGTATGTCGGAATTGACAAAGATCATATATCCAGGAAGTCTAGTCATTTACCTGGTTGAGGAAACTGACAGGGTTCACAGGACCAGAACCTGTCCTTGCTATGTGAACAGTCCTAGAAGATGTGTTAGCTTTCATATACGCAACTTGAAGGCGAAAGCACCACTGGAGAATTCTTTAGCAGAGTAGTCTGGAAAGGTTAGATCTCTAAAGTTGACACATATTAAATGAGTGACCCTAAAATACAATTTCAGAATGCTGGTTTTTTGACTGATTATGACATCTTCCTAATATGCATATATGAATAAAATTGGACAACTTAATATATCTGGGAATATAAGAAACATATTCAACTGTTAGAACCACACTATCTTTTAAAAACTACTAAAATCTGAGTTCGCTAGATTATTTAATTAATGTAAATCAGATCTAATTCCAATGAAAACTCCATTATGAATTTATAAGCTGTAGAGACTTGATGTGTTCTTGAATGGATTTTTTTGAATTAAAGCTTCTCTGAGAAATACTTCTAATTTTGCCGAGTTTCACTCAACACTTTAGATTCTCTTTATGACTGTACATACCTGCACTACCATCTTAATAACCATTTGTTTTCACTTCAGTAGGGCAGACCTTACATATTCAAATGATCAACCACTATCGTTTGCTACAAAGAAGTGTTGAGATAATATAATTTGCAAAAAGAGAGGTACAGGGAGATTTTGAAGGGAAATGAGAGTAGAGAAACTGAATAGCTTCCTAGATCCTGAAAAAGACCATCACGGTATGGTCTTACCATTTCTTTGAAATAAACATCTAAAATAACATTATCTGTGCTTAAATGCAGTGACCAGACCAAACCAAACACACGTATTCTGGAGTCAGACTTTTGTCGTATTGTCTGCTATTTATGTCACCCAGGTCTGTGCCTCATTATTACTATAACTCACTATTTTTCTGGGTCTGAGATAGTTGATGCCATCTCAGGAGTTAGTAATACTCTTTATTAATGATACTTGTTATTCTGTTTACAGTAAAATCCAGTTTTGAGGACTTGTCACCAGTTTTTATTTATAGAACATTGAAATAAATGTTCAAATTGCTGACTTCAATACTTGATTAAGAGTAACAAGTGTGGAAAAAATATTTTTCTGTGATAAGTGCACACTAATTCGAGATAGTGAAATTTTCTAGTAAGGATTTATAATAGATTGCTAAGACTAAACCACTTAAAAAATATAACTGTAGAATCTTTGAAAAGAGAAATAAGTGACTATTATTTTAAGAACCTTTTCACCTTTTAATTTTTTTTAAAATACTGATTGCCTCCTTATATTGTGGGACAGTCAAGAAAGACTGTTTTAAGGTATTAAGTTAAGGAGCTAATTGATTCTTCTTCCTCTCATACCATAAGACCTTTGTGTTTACCCCTTCCTGCTAGCTGTACTCTCCTGGCTGCTGTGTCAGTTATAGTCATAAAAACAAATGCTTGTGAAACTGCTTATAGTAGATTTGACCTTTATGTTGGCTGCTGTTCATACTAAGCCTTTGGTTTTATACTTTTTAATTATATTTTTATATTATTGGATTGCTTTTTATAACTTATATTTTAGTGGTTGTTTTGGATTACTTACAATGTAATTAGGATAGAATTTATTACAATTATAGAGTAGATTAATTGCGATAAGGTGATGAATCAGGTATAACTTCAAGACAACTAATGTTAAATTTATTTATAATTTCTACCTTGCCCATTTGACGTAACTATGGAACACAGTAAAGGAGAAGATAGTCCGTTGCCCTCAAACCATTTTTGACCTTAGGGGAGGCTTTTTATGCTGTTAAAAGGACATTGAAGTACCTTAAATTCAACCAAATGATCAAGCACCTTTTAAATACTTACGCTGCAGGAGATTCTTTTCGGGTCATTGCCCGTGATTCTATGCTGTTAAAGACGGTGTTGTTTATTTTCTATAGACTGCAGCTCTCAGGTGCCTCTCTTCTATAGTGGTGCTCCCGATTTTTTGCATTCACATATAGAGACACACATCTTCATTCTTTTTCTCTGTGCCTCATTTTTCCTTTTCTTTTTCTTTTTTTTCTTCTGAAATCTGTTTCTTAGAATACATTTCCAACCTTATGTTTAACTTTTGTGCATCAGAACAAAAGACTTTTAGACTTTTGTGTAGCAGGCTCTTTGGCTCATATCCAAGAACAATTATATATTAAAGAGATGGAACAAGCAGGAAAAAGAAAATTGAGGAAAACTTAACCCAGTTTCTTTTCAGTTTTGTAAATAATTGATGAATAATGTAGTATTTATGCATAATAGGACATTCTTGTTTTTCTACAAATATCATTGAGATTTGAAGATTTTTTTATAGATTTTTGAGCATCATTATTCAAGAGAGCTCTCGGAATTAGGTATTGTTATGACAGTGCTGCTCAGGAATGAGAACTGAATTAATGCAATAGATCCTAGGATTTCTTCTTTATTCTATGTAATAACACATTAGAATAGTTTAATGTTATTTATTCAGTTCCTTCTCTTTAAAATGGAAGCAAAACTGTGAGCCCCTCTTTTTTTCAGAGGAATCATGATATAGATGTAGAAATGTTAAATTCTCCCAACAAGTAAATTTAGGGGAATACAGTAGAACCCCATTTTTCCTATAGGTCTATTGTACTAAATGTTGTTGTTGCTTATAAATGAATCATACAGTTTCACTACTTACTGGTTGAAGAACTATGTGTTATAAGGATAATTTACCAACCCCCAGTTTCCCTAGAAATTGGTTTAGACTGTCTTTTTAATCTTTTGATAGAATATGTAACAGTGATATAGATGTGTCATTCATGGTTTAAAATTGTGTGAGTTGATCTTTGTGTTCAGGGAACTTTATCTTTCTCTGTGGTTGGAAAAGAGAAATTCTAGATTCTTAATGATGAATTGTATTTTTATATATATTGCTATTTTCATTTTTATAAAAGCCTAATTTTAATAAATAAAATGTTATTGATGTTATTTCAGTATGAATGTGTATATTTAATAATTAAGTGAATTACTACATTATATGTGCATATATCTGTGGCACCAACATGCTGATTTAACTATCTGTTTTTATTAATTTTTGACTATTCTTTTATAGTCACTTTGGCTTTAATTTTTAAGATTAATTTCTTTGTAATCATTTTTTAGGGAACCCAAATTGAGCTGTCTATTGGAATTATTTTCGGGATTTCTACTATGGCAGGTATTTAATAGTAGTAAATGTTATTATCCCATTGTCTATATATTTATAAAACATTTCAGTAGATTAGTTTTGGAGGAGGATCAATTATCTGAATGAGTTTTCTCATTGAAATGTCTATTGCTTTTTCTCTTTAATCTTATTCTTCTGATTCTTAGTTACTATATATAGCACTTTTTTTTTCTGAGAATTTTAGGCACTTTATGTTAGTTAATGAGTAACAATCCTCTGCTATATTGACTATGTTAAAACAAGTTTTTCTGGTAATTCCATGTTACCCACAAACCTTTCTACCATTTGTCTCTGTTAATTTCCTAGTTGGGTAGGAAAAAAATCCAAAGAAAGGAAATATGAGATTAAAAACCTTATCTTTCTCTCCCCCATTTATCACTCTGTTTTCATCAAAGTGAGATTGGGAATGGTTTTTTTTGTGTGTTTATGTATAGAAAGCATGAGGTAGATGGGTTAATGAAAGAAATATTTCTTCTTCTTGATTTTCTTGAATTTGAGAGCATATGTCTCTACTCATAAAAACTTCCAAATATCCAGATTTCCTTAAATATTATATCAAAGATGCAACTATAAAATATTGTGTGGGTGTTTTAATATTGAAACTAAAATGGAAATTGGCTGCCATAACTGAAAAACCCTACTACTTAATAGGGAAAGAATATTTTAGTTTCAGAATTGAATTCTATTTTGAAATGTTGAAATTCAGAGTTATTCAATGAGTTGCTTTGGATATAGTTGTTATAGTTTGCAAAATGTGAGCTCTGTTCCAGACCAATGCTTTAATGACTACATAATGATGTATTGGAATGATTTTTGTGACATATGTAACAATCTATTTGTCTCTTTTTCAAATTTTTAGCTGCTGCTTTGGGAAATCTCGTGTCAGATTTAGCTGGACTTGGGTAGGTTCATTTATTTATCCACTTATTCTCTTTTCTCCATTCTCCTTTAATCGAGAAACATAAAAAAGGGACACTGACTTTTCTTTGAGTGCTAGAACTAAATTTTTTAATTTACTGTTTCTAAATTAGTAGTACTACATCTTTGATGCATATCAAATATAGATATCTGGGTTGTACCCCAGCCATACAGAATTAAGTGTCTCTGGTGAGGGGGCCCTGGCATTTGTGGTGAATAATTTTTATATGAGATTCTGTTATATGCAAAAGTTTATTGTGAAACTACCATAATGTAAGCAGAAGGAATTTGCATTTGCTGAAGTATTTATATGTATTTTGTAGACATCTCCAGGGGTAAGACAGGATTAAAAGCAAGAACCTCTGTCATTATTCTACCTCACCATCCTTCCACGAAGTGCAGACATAAGGGATATAGCTCAGATTTGAGGATATTGACTGAGCATGTTTTCTAGAGAGTCAAAATTTCAAAAGAAATAAAGGCCACAGCATATATAGGTTTGCTGTCTTTTTGTTATTGGCAGGAGTGATGAAACAAAGGGGTGTTTATTTAGAAATAACATGGATGTCTATTTAGAAAAGGCCAGCCATTTCTCTCTCTCTTTACATTCTCTCTTCCAAGTGGCAGATGGCCTGGGCTGCTTCCTGAGCTTGAAGAAGGCTTGAGAATATAAATTAGACTAGGTTGACATTAATTATTATGATAAACATGCTTTCTCTTGCTCTTTGACTTCATTTCTTCCTACTATGGCTTAGTTTAGTGGTATGTTTTGAGATGAAAATTTGGGCGTAGCCTTATGCAATAGGCAAGACAGTTTTACAAGTGATCTAATCTTCTGTATTAGAGTTAGGCACTGGAGTTTGAGGCCAAAGCCACTGTTAAAAGTAAAGATTCTATGCTTTACAACCATGGTAGACATTTTATATTCTTAGATTTCCTATCATAAATCTACCATGTTATCAGTTCTTAAAAATTCTATTTCCCAGTTTCAAACATTAAGGTAATTAATAAGATTATAAGTACTGTTTAGCTTTTTGTTATATGTAGTAGAACCAAATGATCCAATAGATTTTAAAGCAATTTAGCTTTAGATTACAAAATAAAACAGTTATTTTTGATTAAAGATGAAGATTTTGGTGGGAGTCATTATATTCAAGGACTATTTCTCTTCCTTTTTTTGGGATCATTAAATAACAAATACCACATTTTATGGATTCCTATTTACCTGTTCTTCATGGATGCTTAATATATCTGATAGTGGAGCTATTTTATGGTTGTTACGCATTGTATATAGCTAGTTTAATTGGCAATTTTTTTTTCTTAACAGTTCATAAAGTAAGATCGCATCCAGGAAATGAGGGCAACTTAGAATTGTTAAAATACTTGAGATTGGCCTGAAAATTCTTTTCTTAGTTTATCAATCTGATGCGTTTTGGAAACTCTTGCTTTCTGATGACAGTTATTAGTTTATATTATATGTTAAAATGCTTTGTTTTGAATTTGGAATGAGTGCTGAAATTGTAATCATTTGTGAAAATGTTTTATACACCTTTAATTCTTTTTAAAGTAATAATATAGTAATAATAGAGAATAATTGCTCTAAGTCAATTTGTCTTTCTATTAAATATATTAATATGAAAATATTTTAACATGATATATTTATATACAATAAAAATTAAAAGTTTAAAAATGTTTATATCATTTCTAGAATGCTAATAAGTACAGGTGTAACATTATCTTGTTTATCTTTGTAATAATTAGTTTTTCACCATCTGAGGACATTTGCATGTCTTTTTAAAAACTCATATTCTGGAAAAAAAAACTCATATTCTGTCCTCTGTTTTTTTTAAAGACTTGCAGGTTATGTCGAAGCGTTGGCTTCCAGGTTAGGCCTGTCAATTCCTGATCTCACACCAAAGCAAGTTGATATGTGGCAAACACGTGTTAGTACACATTTGGTAAGTAATTTATATGGTTTGTGATAATGAAGTTTGGTAGCCAGAGTAAGACATTGTGTAGTTCAAGCCCTTTAGAAAGTTGAAGCTAAAGTTAATTTGAGTGGAGTCATTAACAAAAATTGTCTAGGCCTTTTCATTTTTCAGAACAATAATTTGTGTTATTGACTCATTTTTTGTAGGTATATTGATTTTTAAAAAATCTTTACACAAATCATTTACTATTAAATATCTGTTATGTACTAGAGATGGAGGGATATAAAATGAATAATCAATTATAGTTATCCTTGAGGAATTTGTTCAGGTAGAAAACCAGACATGTAAACAAATTATAACTCAGTAAGATACATACAGTAATAGAATTATATGCAGGATATAACAATGATACAAGTAAAGGAATTTAACACTTTGTGGGAAGAAATTTCTTTTTTTTTTTTTTTTTTTTTTTTTTTTTTTTTTGAGACAGAGCCTCAAGCTGTCCCCCTGGGCAGAGTGCCGTGGCATTACAGCTCACAGCAACCTCCAACTCCTGGGCTCAAGCGAGTCTCCTGCCTCCGCCTCCCAAGTAGCTGGGACCACAGGCGCCCGCCACAACGCCCGGCTATTTTTTGGTTGCAGCCGTCATTGTTGTTTGGCGGGTCCGGGCTGGGGATTCGAACCCGCCACCTTAGGTGTACGTGGCTGGCGCCTTAGCCGGTTGAGCTATAGGCGCCGAGCCAAGAAATTTCTTTTGCTGTAGAGATTTCTTTGGATCTAATCTGATTTTTGAATTACTGATGAGGCATTCACTCGATGAATAAGGGAATTCCAAATATACTAACTAGCAAATGGAGAAGTAAGCGTGGGTCAGACAGGAAAGGCATTATCTGTGCTATGTATGCTAAGGAGCTTGAGCCTAGAAAGAGTCTTAAATAGAAAGGAAACTTGGTAGATCATGATGCAGCTAATTAAGTCAAGAGAACAAGTTTGTAAGTGAAGATAATGAATTCTCTTTTAGACGCATTGAATTTGAGATGCTAGTAGGACATTCAAGTAGTGACACTTAGTAGGCATTTAGATTAAAGATCAAGAGTTAAAGAGGGGCTCGGCGCCTGTGGCTCAAGTGGTTAAGGCACCAGCCACATACACCTAAGGTGGTGGGTTCAAATCCAGCCTGGGCCCACCAAACAACAATGATGGCTGCAACCAAAAACAATAGCCAGGCACCTGTGGTCCCAGCTACTTGGGAGGTGGAGGTGGGAGACTCGCTTGAGCCCTGGAGATGGAGGTTGCTGTGAGTTGTGATGCCATGGCACTCTACCCAGGGGGATACCTTGAGGCCTTGTCTCAAAAAAAAAGCTAAAGAAGTCTGAATTAGAGATGATGGGTATTGTTATTCAAAAAATATTTATCGTTTATATACTGTATGTCCAGTACAGATCTAAGAGTGTAGAATATGTTGGCTAATAAAAAGATTGTTTTTTCTGGTGAATCTTATATTTCAGCAGCAGAGGGACGACAAATCTGATAAGTAAAGGTGTTTATTATATTATATTAGAAGTTCTTAAGTGTTATGGAAATAAAAAGAGAAAGCAGAGGTGGAAAAGGTTGGGAGTGCCAGAATGGAGTTAGATTGAAGTATTAAACAGGAAGGGTACTGTAGCCCTAACTGGAAAGGCAGGTAATAGTTAAAACTATGGAAGAAAGTAAGACTGTATAAGGCAGTGATTCTCAAAATGTAATGCTAGGACAGGCAAGATAAACGTTATCTGGGAACTTAATAGAAATGCAAACTGTCTTAGACCTAACTATTGTTTAAAAAGTTACTTGGCAGCTTAAAACAACACTAATTTATTATGTATCATTTTATTTGGGTCAGGAGACCAGGTATAGCTTAGGTGGGTCCTTTGGAGGGCTGCAATCTGTGTCTAGCTAGGATTTGGTTCTTGTCTGGAGGCTCAATTAGTGATGGATTTGCTTTTAGGCTCACTCAGGTCTTTGGCAAATTAATTTCTTTGAGGCTGTGAGGGACCCAGCTTCTGGCTTGCCATTAGCCAGAGGCTGCTTATCATCCTCTAGAAGCCTCCCTGACCACCTAGAACTCCAGTTCCTTGCCATGTGGCCTTCTCATTAGGCCCCCTTACAACACACCAACATGCTTCTTCAGAGCCAGCAAAGGAAAAAGAGAAGGAGTCTGCTGGCAAGATGGAGTCTTTAGGTAATATAATAGAATTACAGAGACTCATCACCTTTCTTATTGGTAGAAGCAGGTTAGACCTTCCTACCCACTTTTAAGGGGAAGAGGTTATGCAAAGGCGCAAATACCAGGAGGAAAGGGTCATCGGAAATACCTTAAAAATCTGTCTGCTACATATGTGCAGAATCAGAAATGCTGGAGATGGGACGTACAATTTGTGTTTTAAATCTATTCCATTCTAAAATTCAAGAGCTATTGGTCCAGAGGGAATGTGTAGAATTAAAAACCCTAGAGAATACCTAAGAGCTCATGGTCTTATGAAACCTTGCAAGGAAAATGATTTAAGAACCAGTAGATGATGACCAGTTTCTGTTGATATAAAGAAATCAAGTAAAGTTTCTCAGAAGTTGTTTTTTAAAATTTGGTATATAGTTGCTCATTGGGGTCATCACTGAGCAATTTCTGTGGACTTCCAGGAAAGGAAAAATCAGGTAGCAATGAATTGAAACATTAATAGGAGATGAGGAAGAAGAGTAAGATATAAAATTAACTTCTTTAAATTAAGTTAGACGATCTTTGTTTTAGTGAAGATAGTAAAATCAATTTCTTTGTTAGAAATAAATAGAAATGAAAAATATCTTCACGGAGTATAGAAATATGAACACAGGTAAAATGGAATTAAATTCATCACTCATCACTTTAATGTGTAATACAACATTTAAACTAAAGATAATTCCTAAATAGCATTTTTGATATTATAAATACTATAGTATTTTGTATTTTATTTTAATCACTTACGTTGAACAATATTAAAGTTTTTTGTTTCAGATATTATTTACAGTTTTGAGACTCTTGTGTTGCTTTTGATTGCTAGTGATAGTAGTTAGTAATTATTTGTCTTAAAGGAGAATATTTGGCATTTTTAAAATTTGAAATGTTCAATAATTACTGCCCTTTGAAATAAGAGTAATAAAGTAAGAGTAATAGAAGAATGACTAAAATACTAGGGAAGTGTTACTTTTCTTTTTTTGGAGGCAGAATCTCACTATGTCGACCTCAGTAGAGTACGTGGCATCACAGCTCACAGCAACCTCAAACTCTCGGGCTTAAGCCATTCTCTTGCCTAATCCTCCCAAGTAGCTTGGGAGGTGCCCTCCACAACGCCTGGCTATTTTTTTGTTGCAGTTGTCATTATTGATTCTAGCAGGCGCCCTCCAAAACGCCTGGCTATTTTTTTGTTGCAGTTGTCATTATTGATTCTAGCAGGCGCCCTCCACAACGTCTGGCTATTTTTTTGTTGCAGTTGTCATTATTGATTCTAGCAGGCGCCCTCCACAACGCCTGGCTATTTTTTTGTTGTAGTTGTCATTATTGATTATAGCAGGCCCGGGCAGGGTTCCAACGCACCAGCCTCAGTGTATATGGCCGGTGCTCTACCCACTGAGCCACAGGCACTGCTGGAAAGTGTTAGTTTTCAACTGAAATGTAGGAAGAATGTGTAGAAACAAAATGAGTACCTATGTGTTTGTTACGATTTTTACTTTATAAAAGATAAAAAGTCTTTTTAAAAAGCAGAATGTTAATTTTGGACTTTTTCTTTTAGTTCCTATGTATCCCTATCCTATCCCTGTAGGTAAATCAAAGTGGCTTTAGGGAATATATTCTAACATCGATCAATTTGTCTTAAAATGTTAGCATTATAGTTAAAATCAAGAGAATTTATTTTTCTGGGTCTTTTCATGTAATTGATAATTTTTCTTTCTGTATCATAAACAGATTCATTTCCCTTCTTCTATGATAAAAGCACCTCAATTACTAAACTAGTATTTATATATTTATTATGTGTGTATTGATAAATCCCCCACCAGCATATAGAAGCAGTGATTCTATTTCTTAATGTTGATTCTGCTTATTTTATGTTAGGATAACATCTTCTGCTCTGTAACTTAACATTTTGATTACACACAGCCTAAAGTATTTGAAGTTAGTGATCAGCCAGATATTCATGATATAATTTAACTCTGAAATTTATTCTTAGTAGAATATGTATACACATAAATGTCCGTGTAGGTTCCAGTTGACATAGCTATATTTGAAAACCTCATTTGCAATTTGGTTGTTTGAAACTTGGAAAGATATGTTCTTTAAAAATAATATTACAGATGGCCTCAAGCTTTCATTTTGGCCCCAGTGTTTAACTATGGAGTCTAGAGTATCTTAAGACGTAATACTAATATGTAAATAATGGTTTTTACAGTGGAAAAACATTTTAGGTCCTGGATCAGAAAAGAATATTACATCTCCCCCTCCCCCCCAATATCTCATTAAGATAATTGTCTCAGAACTCGCTGACTGACCTTCCTAAAGTGAGGGAGGAGGAAAGCCTTGGTTGCCATGCACTATTCTGATAGGCATTCGAACAGCATAGGTGGGAAGTAGAAGTGGGGCTAATTAGCAATGTTCATTTCACATATGTGGGAAAGTCAGGACTAATAGATTCTAATAGAAATTAAATAGAATATAATTTCTCTATGCATATACAAATGAATAAACATGTTATAGGCAAAATTAGACTCTAGGATTAACTTTATCAATGTCTGGAATGAAGAAAATTTCTGCTTATTAAAATTCTGGAAGAGTTTTAGGCACAATGAAAATAACAGTTTTTATTATTGAATGTAAAGCATGAAAAAGAATGCATGCATATACAAAGGATAGCAAATCCACATATATTGAGAGCAGGTAGTGAGATTTTTTTCCCTGCCTGTCTCTCCTGACATTAAAATATATACAATTTTTAAAAAGATTTTGTTTGGATATTTATTTGATATTTTTATTGCAATAATTTTGAACCTCAAATAGGAACCTTTGAATCTTAAATATTATTTGTTTTATAATATTTTTATAGCATACTTTTATATTTAAATTACTATAATCACAAGAAATGCAGTCATAATTGAATTTTATAATATATAGTAATTGTTATCACAGATACACAAGGATACCTCTTTCAGAGACAAAGTAACTTTTAAAAAATGTTCTCTTCTGTTCTTAGGGCAAAGCTGTTGGGGTGACTATTGGCTGCATTCTAGGAATGTTTCCTTTGATTTTCTTTGGAGGAGAAGAAGATGAAAAACTGGAAAAGAAAAATTAATCCTCTTAGAATACCTATAAAAACATGTAAACTAATGTACCTCAGTTATTAAAATATGCTGTCTCAACATTTAGGAATTAAGACAGTAACAGTGTATAGATATGGGATCAAATAACTCAGCATGTATTATGGAAAACACTAACTTATTGTGGCTTGATCTTCTCGGGACATCTTTTTTAAACAAATGTTTGGTATCATTTTGTGTAAATTGTTGAAATGCTTTTTCATCAGTGGCAGTCAACATTTTATTTTTTCTTTCTCTTTATATATCAATATATTATTTAAGTATTGGTCATTCATGTACTGTACTGACTTAGGGTTTGCTTATTTGTTACCTAATATGTGTATATGCATGAAAGCAATTTTGTTTTTGCTATTGTTATTCCCTGATGATTACAATTCAACCTGGGGATTGTTCCAAATTCCTGAAGATATTTAAGATTTTCTTACTCTCTTTTAGACATCAATTTTGTACTGTTTCACAGTAAACATTTACAATCATATAATTTTGGTTATCTTCTTAACTCTCACATCTATTCATAATGGATGCAGATGGAGATTTTAAGTATTTTGAGTATACATTTCCCATTTTAATTTTCGGACCTTACTTTACTGTCTTAAGAGGCAGAGGTTAATCAAAGCAATTATGTTGTCTCCTTACTACATAAAACCATATATGCTAATAAGTGTACTTATTTCCAGTTGATTTTTTTTAACCTTTAATTTTCTAATTTCAAATATTTACATGGTTGATTGTGCCTCCTGAGGGGAAGAAGATGATTATTTTAGTATCTTTTAAATGGGTATTGTGGAATTAGGGTGAACTAAGGTATTTGATGTGACACTTGGAAATTAAGAGGCTAAAACTTTCTCTTTTAAGAGAAACAGAAAATGGGAACTGTTAAGAAGGTTTATGGTATAAGTGGTGAAGTTGAAGTGATGTAGATTAATAAAATACAAACTATAGTGTGTAAGAAGGATTATTTTTCCTCTGAAGTATCAATTTTACATCTGAATGTGATGAGTCTGAATATTCCATGTTCATGATCCTAATCTGTTTATATCTTCTTTAGTGAATTTTATTTCTTGATAATTTCTTTTGAAGTGAAAAATATTTCATATTTTGCTTTTTTGTTACACAGTCTAGTCAAAGTTATATGAAAGGAAATCTTTTCTTCCTTTTGTGATCTTTTGTTTTCTTTAGGGATGTTTAAAGCATATTCTAGGTTGAAATTATTCTAGTGTTCTATACCTAACTTAAGTATATATGTATGGATTATAAATTTTAGTTTTCTGAACCCTTTAAATTTTTTAGCCTATGGCCTGTTACACATGCTAAAAAAGTTACTCTCGTAACAGAGTAATAAAAACACATCTTGAAGGAGAAAAACTGAAATGAAAATTAAAATAATATTTTGGCTATTTGAAATTATTTATGTTGCTAAATACATGCAGAAGAAAACAAGTGTATAAAGTAGTTTATTATAAATTCTCTCTTTTGCACTTGAGAATGATTAAGTGCTATCCTTTACTCATAGATTTTGAGGGGAAAAAAGAAAATACATTGCACACTGTAAAAATAAATATATAACAATCTTTTTTTGGTTTGTTTTTGCGACAGTCTCACTTTGTCACCCTCAGTAGAGTGCTGTAGCATCATAGCTCACAGCAACCTCAAACTCCTGGGCTTAAGCAATTCTCTTGCCTCAGCCTCCCAAGTAGTTGGGACTACAGGCACCCACCAGAACACCCGGCTATTTTTAGAGATGAGGTCTCCCTCTGGCTCAGGCTGGTCTCAAACCTAAAGCTTAGGCAATCCACCTGCCTCAGCCTCCCAAGTGCTGGGATTACAGGCGTGAGCCACCGTGCCTGGCCCCTGTAACAGTCTTATTATACACAAGTAATGTAACATTCTTGTTGGATCAAATCAGAATTATAGAACTTGATTTCTTAAACTGAATTGTCGATATAATACTACATATAGATACCAAAATAATCTTTTAAAAAAATTTCAGATTGATAGAATTAGAATGTTGTTTTTGTTTTGTTTTGGTAAATGTGTGAGCACTTTGTCCCTAGTTTGTATATTGATGACAGTCCTTTCTCTTTTCTCAAAAAGTATTTTTTTGTGGTGCTTAACTTTTCTTCTTATTAATTAAATCCCATATCCAAAACCTTGCCTGTGAGTTTAGAAAGGGCTTTTGATTACTAATTTTCTTTTTTGGCTTTTGAAAATAATCCAGTCCTGGAGAATTGTCATTTTAATTGAACATCTGCAAAATTATTTTTAAGATTTCAAAATATGGAATATATTCTATTTTAATTTAGTACTTATAGTATTTTAATTTATAGACACAATAAAAATTTGAATTATTAAGGTAATTAATTTTCAAAAAATGAAACCTATCTGTCTTAACCAAAGGTATAGATTCTTTCAACATTTTTTTTGTTCTACACTAGTACAGACCTTTGAACAAAGTGATTTCTGAAGAATAGTTCCCTTTATGGTAAAAAATTCATATGATCATTGTTTTATATTACTTGCCACAAAGGACTTTATTTCAGGTTGAAACTGGAACTGTTTGTTTCTTGTATTAGCTATTTCTTTATTAGGAGCACAAGAACTAAAGTTAAATGCAACATGAACTACTTTAGTACTGTTTGTTTGAAATTTGTGTTGTCCATGTATTACGATTTACTGACTTGTTGATGCATGTAAATTGGGTGTATTTTGTTGCCACTGTATGTTAAATGGTGACCAATGTTTTTACAAAGGAACTGAACAAAAAATATCTTTTAAGTAATTTGGAATGTGTTTTTCATTTTGAAATTTGATTTTCTTACAGAGGGCCTTTTCTGTTATTAAAGAAAATAAGATTAACAAATGAAGATTTATTATAAGGTAGTAACAATGTCATAAGACAGTAAATGGAACTTTTTATCACCTCCCTGAAGTGCACACTTGAGATACAGTATTGGAGTATGACAGAAAAGTGATCTCACAGGAAAGCTTTAGAGAGAGAGATGTGATGTCATAAGTCACACTGAAGAGTGTGCAAGTTTCTTGTATTAGCTATTTCTTTAAGAACTAAAGTTAAATGCAACATGTTCAAGTGTACAGCAGAGATATTCAAGCTGTTTATAAACAAAGCCTCATCTACTTTATTCTTTTTCTCTAGAAAGTAAATTTTGAAGGTAATAGAAGTTTACCTTTTACACAAAAGTTTGTAGAAGCCATTTTGAAGTGAATTTTCCTAATTTTAGAATAATTCTTGCCATCTTAAAACAGTATATTAAATATAATGCAATCCTTTTCTTGGTGGCTAAGCACCATCTTTATGGACATTGTTATTGTGCTGTAATGTAGTGCCTTGGGAATCTAGTTTTTATGGTTTTCATTTTCCTTTTTCTTTTTGGTTACTCATTTGGGAAATACTAGAAAATAGGTTGTGGAGCCTGAGTGAGATGATGATGATGATAGTAATAATAATAATGATAGTATTAGCCCCCTTTTATTAAATACTTGTTGCTGGATACTGTAGTATTTTACCCACAGTATTGATTTAATCATCTTAACAGCAACATTAAGTTGATGCTATTATTATCCTTATTTTTTGTAGTGGGTAAATTAAGGCATGGAGCGGTTAGTTTGTCCTCTAGGTCACTAATAAGTGGACTGGAGTCTAACTCTTTGTCCATGTGTAAACCCTGTTTTCTTAACTACTATACAATAGGGACGTTAGTTGCGTGGACTTGGTAACATCTGTTTTCTTAGGTTCCTTTTTACCTCCAGATTTATGGGGTCATTTTCATATCTCTAATGGAAGGGAATTGTACTCTTAATTTCGAGATTATTTAACAAACTTTATGGTTTTGATAGTATACTATGTGCTGGGAACAGTTTGAGGCATTGAGGGAACAAGCAGAATGTCCCTATTCTCATGAAGCTTATTCTGTGGAGGGCATTTGTAGGGGAAAAGCAAAAATGAACTTAAGTATTTTTTATGTCAGATAATTTTATAGAGATAAACGAAACAAGGTCAGGGGCATAGAAGGTACCAGTGGTCATGAGCGAGGATGGTCAGGGAAGACCTGAAAGAAGCAAGGGCATAAACAATAACAGAAATCTAGGAAGAGCAGCTGTTATGCTGTGTCCTAGAAACTCAGTAATAAGAAAATCTCAGACATACAAATTATATCGCACTTCGGAAAGCATTGTAAAATGCTTTCTTGTTTATTTCATGTTACTAATGTCTAGATTAAGCCTAAAGATTAATACCTACACGTTAAGATTAATATTTACTCTTTGCATATTTAAAAGCAATAGAAGGAAATAGTCCAGAAGGATGGGGAAACAATCCTGAAAATCAGAAAGCCTGTGGATACTACATTAGCAAAGAATTTATATTTGACCCTTGAACAACACAGGAGTTAAGAACATCAACCCCTTTCTAGTTGAAAGCCACATTGATTAAGTGGAACTGGGTCATCATAAAGGTCTTCAGCCTTGTGGTTTTCATGTGAAATATGCTGAGGAGGAAGAGGAAGGGTAGGTCTTAATGTCTTGGGAGGCAGAAGAGGTGAAGGAGGTAGAAGGGAAGTCAGGAGAGGCAAGTACACTTGGTGTAACTTTACAAAAAGAAGTCATAATTTGTTTGACATTTGCTTTTTTATTGTCCAAGGATGTTTCTATATGGTCCCAGTCCTCCCACTGTTTGCTTCGGTGTCCATGCCTGTAGCACAGAAGGGTTCATGTTGTAAAAGAAGTCAGAAGCAATCTTGGATGCCTAGAACCCCTCTGCCGGATTGTCTAATGTCCGTGTGTTTTCTGGCCCTGCTGCTTCTGTGTCTTTGTTGACTTTCAGTACTGGTTTGGAAGCAGTCATCTCCATCAAGTTGTCTTCTGTTAACTTCTCTGGAAGTGGTGTCTTTTAGCTCTTGAAATTCTTCAAAATCTGTATCTTGAAACCCTTGACACCCACTTCTTTTTGTCACATCTGTGATCTCTTTTATGATTTCCTTCACTGGCTCTGTCATAAATTCTATGAATTCGTGCGTAACATCTGGACAGTTTCCTCCAGCAGGATTACTGTTTCGGACTTGATGGCCTTCATAGCTTTTTCTATGACAACCAGTGACATTTTCATTGGTGTAATCCAGGTTTTATAGTGTTCTATAAAGAGTTTTTTCCCATAGTATTGACAGTCCTTTCCACAATGAGCCTGAGAGGTGCTTGTGACCCTCTAACACAGAGGCTGAATTAGAGACATCGTGTTGTGGGGGCAAGTCAACCGTTTTGATGCCTTCGGTGTTAAAACTCAGGGGTTCTGGGTAGGTGGCCAAGGAGATTGTCCAATATCAAAAGAATGCTAAAAAGCAGTGCTTTACTGGCAAGGTACTTCCTGACTTCAGAGGTAAAACACTAACGGAATTAGTACAGAAAAAGTGTTCTCATCCAGACCACCTTGCACAACCAAAAGACTGCCAGTAAGACTTATTTTTTC